GTCTACTGCCACTTTAAGAAGCTGTCTATAAAAGGGAGGCCATGTGAGGACACGTCTCTCTCCTCGTGTTCTATCTCCATTGTAATTTTCCATGTAGAGTTGAAGATTGATTGCTTGCCTGGTGTTTGCCTAACACGTACGTGTATGTAGATAGCAGTCTTGTATATAAACCACTGTTAAAGCCTCTGTGTTGCTGTGTTGTGCTCATGGGTTGTCTCACAATGGTGGTTATACTGCAAACACTCCGACAGCTTCTTTAGAGTGGTTTGGAAGACGCAAGTAAGTAGTAACATCTTCTCCCTCTTGCAATTTGCAGGTTGCCTTGCTAAGAGCTCACGCGGGGGAGCACCTCTTGCTGGGGGTTGCAAAGCGCTCCATTCCATACACAAATTTTCTCTTATTAGGTAAAAATAATTTTTTCCTGCTTAGGTATATATATATATATAAAAAGCTGTCGTCATCCAGCTCCCTTGGAGCTTCTCGATCTCTTGACCATTGCAAAGGGGTCCACATTTGGAAATTTGATAATGAATCGGGGGTGTTGTCCTCAGCTAGTGGGCATGGCCAGCGGAGCATATCCTCTTCCCCAACTCCTTTAGATATTCTTCATTACCAGGTTGAAGTGCGCTTGATGAGACCTTGTGTGGCAAAAGGTCCCTTCTCTGCCTGGTCAGAAGCAATTTCACTCGGTCATCTGGAAGTTCTTGCATCATGAATCAGTACGGTGTTTCTCAATCTTAGCACCTTTAAGATGAGTGGACTTCAACTCTCAGAGCTGGCTGGGGAATCCTGAGAGTTGGTTGGAGTCCACCCATTTTAAATTGAAATCTGAGTGTTGGAAGCCACACGTCTTGAAGTCTTCAAGTTGCCAAGGCTGACAACCACAGCTTTAGAGTGAAGCAAAACCCTACTTTTCTCCATATTATCACACATCTTTTCATAAAACTGGGACTCATGTCACTGTTTCAGTCACCCCATCCCCTAGGTCTTTTTGGGATCACCCCAGTTGAAATCTACTGCAAGTACGTTGCAAGGGATCAACTGATTCTTCTCAGATCTTCAAGGGCATCAGGTTGTGTTTATGGACTGTCCTCAGCCATGGGTTGATTATGGCTCAAGGAACCTTAATCCAAGTGGTTTCCTTCACATAATGTGCTGTGCTCCAAGCAATCCACATGATGTCCTTGTGTTATGGGTGAACCATAGAGAGGGAGGGAGGGAGATTAAACAGCCACAAGGATTGATGGAGTGCTTCTGTTTCTTAACACTTAGAAAAAAATCGAGGTAAATAATCTCTAGATTAGCTGGAGCCATGTATCACCAACATGTGCCTCACAACATTCCTTCCTCTTCCATAGGCAATGACTTCATCATCCCTATGCAATGTCCAGAGCTTGAAATTGCCCGAGTGGCAATCAGGATTCTGGATGAGCTGGTGAAACCCTTACGGGACATTCAGATCGACGAGAATGAATATGCCTGTCTTAAAGCCATAATCTTTTTTGATCCAGGTATTATTTTATTCTTCAAATCATCCTGGGTTTGATTAAAAAACATCACCACCTTTGATTACCAGAAGATGATAGGAATTGAAAGGACAACGTCCATGGAGATTCTCAATCATCCAGGTTCAAGGCTGTCCCAAAAATGTTTTTTCAAGAGACAAATGGATTTTCTTTGTTTTTTCCTTGAAGACGTTTCACTTCTCATCCAAGAACCTTCTTCGGTTCAGTTCTTCAAAACTGAAGAAGCGTCTTGGATAAGAAGCAAAGTGTCTTCAACGAAAAACAAAGAAAAGTCCAGTTGCCTCTTGAAAAGTCACAATTGATAGGACAAGCTTCCACTGGGTATCTTGACTTCCTTAGCTTTCCTGGACCTTCCACCCTTATCTTAAAAGCTACCTCTGTCCTGAACCAAAGCTAATTTTCTATTGTTTTTGCTTCACCCGATAATTTCCTTTCTCAGTCATGCTCCCACCGTGAGCCTGACTGACAACACTTGCTCCCATTCATTTCCACCTGCCTCGTTTCTCTCCTTTCTCCTTGTCCCAGATTGCAAAGGGCTGAGTGACCCAGGGAAAGTCAAGAACATGCGTTTCCAGGTCCAGGTGAACCTGGAGGATTACATCAACGACCGGCAGTATGATTCCCGGGGAAGGTTCAGCGACATCCTCCTGCTGCTCCCTCCACTGCAAAGCATCACTTGGCAGATGATAGAGCAAGTTCAGTTCGTCAAACTCTTCGGCATGGCTAGGATTGACAGCTTGCTGCAAGAAATGCTCCTTGGAGGTACAACGTGGGTGGAGATGTGAAGGGGATGGCTGGACTAGACGTGAAGGGGCCTGGACTAGGTGCAAGGAGACACAAGTCCTGCTCCTCCTTCAGGAATGAACCTCTGAGGAACCTCTTGGGTTGTCCCTCTTGTGCAACTAACCCCACCAGGTGGTAGTTGTGGAGAAAACACAATCATGGATGCTCCATCTACCATCTCAACCAGCTGAAAGAAAAGTGGGATAACAAAGTTGGGAGATAGAGAAAGAAGTTCTGGGGTTAGGTCTACACAATACCTTTAACCAGCAGCTCTGCTCACCTATCTGTTTGGCCTGGCTAGTTTTAACCCTGTTAAAAATATTCCCAAGGGCATTCTGATGGATCTTGGGATCGAAAAGAAGAGCTAGTTGAATTGGTGATTACAGGGGAAAAAGATGTTAATATAACTTCCATTACACAGTAAGGCACGTCTCTAAATCCAGAAATAATGATATAGGAGCAAGGGTGTCCAAATTGCCCCCAAGTCCATTGATTTTGTGGAGGGCTTTTGAGGGGGTTGTTATTCCAGACCTGTTTTTGTTTGAAGGGATGATGAACCTAGATAGCTGTATAACAGAGGTCTCCAAGCTTGGCAATTTGTGATCTTCTTGAATTCCTCAGGCAGCCACGCGCGATGAATTCTGGGAGTTGAAGTCTTAAAGTTGCAAAATTTTGACACCCCCACCCTATAACATAAACAAACAAAACCTTGTGGCACAGATTCCACTTCTATTCCATTTCTTTTTAGAAAACTACCAACGTGTTGAATGGCTTGGAATTCAACAAGGGCTGAACTTAATTCTTTCCCGGCCCTGTGAGACTTATTAGAGAACTGCAAATGGCTGGTGTGTGTGTGTGTGTGTGTGAATGTGTGGATGTCGTTATTTGTTGAAAACTGAAAGGCAATGCCTTTCAATGCTCTTTGCTCCTACTGTATTCTAATTTTGTGTAGATTCTTCAAGGGGACCAGGCTCCAAGATAGACCATTTTCTTTCATGTCACTTGACGTAGTTTGAAAGGCAGAAAAACGTGGACATCCAGAATTAAAATCAGGCTGTTATTTGGAGGTTTGTTCATTGAATATGATTGGACTGAGATGGCTTTCTTTTTGTGCAGGAACGAGTATGGATATGCCTCAATACCAGCCAGGCCCTTCCAGCCATAACATGGAGCATCTTCCAAGTCACATTGTGCTGCCTAGCGCAATTGGCTCAGTCATTCACACAATCTCAGTCTGTAGGTACCCAGTTTCTCAATGCTTCAATAAGGAAATCTGTGGTTGAACCTTAACCATTTGACCTAAAACATACAAATGCTTGGAATGACCAGAGTGGGTGAATGATGCCAATTGGATGTAGGGGTGGTGATGAAGTAGATTGGCAGGACGACAGTAGATAAGAAGTGGATCCACTGAGGAATGGGATCTACCGAACACATCATGAAGGACCTTTTGAAGGTCCAGGGCAGACTGATCAGGAAGGCAAAAATGTGTATGCTCACATACATGAGAAGTAATGATCATGTTCATCTTTTCTTCTACAGCTTCACCAGAAACTTCGCTCCCTTCTCCTTCCACCAGCACAGGAAGTGAAGATTACAAACTGGGTCCCACCCCTGGATCTGAAATCCCAACAACCCTTTTGCCCCAGGTGGTCATTCCCAAACAAGAGATCCTCTAGGAAATCCACTCTCACTTTTTTTAGTTGCCCCTTTTTTTGAATTCAACAAGCTTTGCTCCCATGATGGTAGCCAACATTGCTGGGTTTCTCACCCAACTAAATCACCTTGAATACCACTTGGGTCCTTCCCAGGAAAATATCTCACAACATTATTAGCATAACAGGTGTTAACTATCATATAAAACATTGGCAGTTAAGTGGTTTATTTTCTGTTACACTCCCATCTCTTGCGTTGTTGTGGAAACACAGGACTGGTTTGGGTGGAACAGCAAATGGAGATTAGCTCCATGCAGGTCTTAAAACCAGTTTGATGGCCATAGTCCAATAATAGTTCTAGTTGAGAGATACATAGAGTACATATAATTGGCATACTCCTAGGATTTAACCTAAAATTTTGAGATTCCTCTTACCATTTGTAAAATATCAATGTTGGAACAAAATAAATTGTACTTAAAATAAAAGACTTCAAGCAATGTGTCAAGTCAATACTTCAGAACGGCCATTTATGACTTGCGGGCAAGTTAGATCTTCACAAGAAGCTCAAGTAAGCGGTCAATCAATCAGAATAGATCTGGAAGGGAGGCCTTCTAGTCCAACCCTCTGCTTAAGCAGGAGATCTAATACCATTTCAGATAGGTTTTCTTAAAAGCCTCCAGTGATGGAGCACCCACGATTTCTGGTGGCCAGCAGTTCCACTGGTTGATTGTCCTCACTGTTAAAAAGTTTCTCCTCAATTCCAGGTCGCTTCTCTCCTTGATCTGTTCCCATCCATGGTTTCTTCTCCTGCCCTCTGGTGCTTTGGAAAAAAATAAGTTGACCCCGTTCTTTGCGGCAGCCTCTCAGTTATTGGAACACTGCTATCATGTCACCCCTAAGTGAGCCCATATTCTCTCTCCTGTTGGACTCCATCCATGATGTTGTGGTCAGAGACAGGCACATATGAACCTGGGGACTTTGTGCCGTCTTCCCTGGAGCAATGTCTCCGTACCCATAAAGTAAATCAAACCTGCCATTTGCCTGGTGCTAGTCAACAAAGCTTCAGTTAACTTTATTCCACATTTTTATATAAAAAAAAAGTACAACAGAACGAGGACCTGAAAACCAAGGAACATTGTTTCCATCCATTCCACACATATATTTGCTAAATCAGAGACATAATCAGCTATTTAAACATGACCTGCCAAGTTTCAGAAGGACAGTCCCACCTGAGGCGGCCTATGTAGGAAAGGTCGATATACCCAATTCTCAAATGGTAGAACTCAAACCGATCTTGAACTGGATCTGCTTTTCACCTTTTTATCATGTGGTGCATTTTCTTCCATTGGCAAGGATTAACTTCGAACTAAGACTGAACTGCATAAATTTTATTTAGATGACTGAGAAGAGTTTGCTAAGATCTACCAAGCACTCCTTGGTCGGATTCTGTAAATGCTAAACATCTTACCCCTGCTAAGACCCTGCTCATTTGCAACGGGCGATATTTCTTCTGCACGGCAGATGTTAAAAATAGCAGGCGGTACCAACCGGTATCAGGGAAAAGTATTTGTGGATATGTTTAATATGCTTATTAGCCTGACATGCCTCTTAAGAATGGAGGATTGGGTTCCTCCTTTAACACCATGGTGGACATACTGGTAGACCAAGTTCTCTCAGAAAGGAGAAGAAACACTAGATTTGGCTTGCGAAAGGAGAAACACCTACACCGTCTTTAAAAACATACCGAAGGACACACCTGTGGTTTGGCCTCTCTCCTTCCTCACCTCTTTTCCATCAATTCTGGGTATTTTTTAAATGCTGGCATGCCCCAGGAAGGATCTGAGGGGAGTATCCTACAAGTGCAGCGCTGTCTTATAAGCATGCAACCCAACTCACAAAAAGGTAAGGCACTATACAACAAGCAGTGAGGTGGGCCAAAGGTTGTCTTGCCAAAATCCACGGGCAAATGAGAAGACTGGATTTCAGGTGAGGGTTATCCACAAGAACAGAGATCCAATACGAGGGATAGGAACCGATGCCTGCTGCTTTCGCCGGGAGGGTCACACCCTACGGCCTTCAACTCAAGAAGTGGGTCTAAGCCCGTTATACATCCCTCTTTCTACATGCTAAGGTAAAAAAAGGGGTTCCTGCAGAATTTTACTCTGCTAGTTGTTGCTGATGTCAGGATTCCAGCTATCGCTCTAATTAAATCATGATTCTCAAGCCAAACTTCAAAGAACTTCAAAGGATTCATTAAAGGCGACATACTGCCGCTGCCCTGTATGAGGCCAACTCTGGTGTACATCATTCACAGTCCCCTGTGACCCTGTTTCCCCCCTCCTCCCTGGGCGTGTCATAAATCAGATTCTCCAATTGAGCACCTTCACAGGCTGGGTGTCATTGTTCACCTTCTCCAATTAAAAATATTCGCGGGCAAAAGCTCTGGTATTTTAGTTACAATCTTTTAAAGAGAAGAGTTGGAATGTACTTTCGCTTTCAACTGCTCTTCCAAATTCCCCCCCCCCTTTTTATAGCAACTACTAAAACAGGCATAGGAATGTTTTATGAGTTGACAGCTGACTCTACGGGGGTTCTCATCTCTCATCTCCGTTTCAAAGCCATTGAGCCAGCGCTGTCCGAGGATATTTCCACGGTTGTGTGGCCAGAATGACATCACGGAGCGCTGTTCCCTTCCCACCGAAGTGGTACCTATTTATCTACTCACATTTGCATGCTTTCGAACTGCTAGGTTGGCAGTAGCTGGAGCGAATACAGGAACTAACTCCATCATGTGGCGCTTGGGTCTCAAACCTGGGCTGACAACTTTCCAGCCCGCTAGCCCAGCATCTTTGACCGCTGAACCACGATCCTACCTGCAAATGCTCCACCTAACACTCAGAGAACTTCACTCAAGTCAAGAATTTCTCTGAGAGGTCAACTACAGACCCAGGGATGTCCACTCCAAGCCCTCCTTAATCCATATACCTCGTTGTGCCAATGCAGCTCTGGTGAACTTGTAACTCAACCTCAGACACACAAGCATGTTAAGCGCCAACATTTGTGCGACACCTTCATCACACGGGTATCCTCTTGCCGCCCTCTGTAGATGCCCAACTAAGGGGGTAGAAGCATGCGATGCCATTACTAGAACAAAAAGAACTCATCCCTACTAGAGTTAAGACAACTCTTAAAAGAAGTTCATTTTTTATATAAAAAAAATCAGGATACACATACATAACTCAAGAGTTGTACTGAATCTTCCGGTTACAAGGCAGCTGTGCCTCTCTGTCTTTTACTTTAAGCATAATTTAAGCCCAATTACCATTAGGAAACAAGTGGAATTTCATTCTGAATCCTATGCAGAGTTAAATGCCCACCTGCCTTTCGTAGGTACTTCCTTAATTACAACATTTTTCAACCTTTTTTAAAGAACTTTCCCTTCTTGTAATGTATCTCAACCTTGGCAACTCTTAAAGACACCTGGACTTCAACTCCCAGATTTCCCCAGTCAGCCATGGATCCACTAAATGAATGTAAGTCAAGGGCTACCTGTACTCTGGGGAATCTAAGGCAGCTTCTTCAAAAACAAATGGACTGGCTTGAGGAACGTCTTCATGGATGACCTTCCAGACTAACTTCTGCTGAGCTTCAGAAGAGACTTCCTTTCCAATGACCCGTTTCCTGTGTCCCTAGCACCACTTCCAGTGCCCGGAAGGGTGGGGAAACTGTTTGAAAAACCTGCCGGCTTATTTGACGACGACCCGATGGAGAAAGAGACAACGGAGAGTTGGCCGACTTTGAGAGGTTTCAACCCCCCCCCTCTCCTTTTCCTTCAAAAGCCATTCTTGACCTCCCCAAATAGCGGAGGACTTCCCTTAAATTGAGAACAAAAACAGCCGTTTGACCCAAGCAGACGGTAGCTTAGAGTTTGTAGGGTTGTTCCCTATTTAGCACTGAACTGATACTGAACCTGAAAAGGAATGATCCGGTGAGGTGAGGAAATTTGAAGCCTCGCGCTCTGTCAAGCTTTGGGTTCTCTCGTGGGAAAAATCAGAAGCTGTGTGAGATAATCGCCCACCCCTAACACAGCTCACAGGCCTCGTCGGGGTGAAAAGAAGAAAGGATACCGTGGCACCAGACGCCATCCTGAAACTTCTGGTTTCGGAGATTTGGTTTGGCCAGCTGTTTCCAGCACGTCCCGTGATGGACAACAGCGTCTCACGATGGACAACAGTATCTCATGATTGACAACGGTATCTCATGATTGACAATGGTACCTCATGATTGACAACGGTGTCTCTTGATTGACAACGGCAGCTCCAGGAACAGTCTTTTCAAAAGTGGAGAGAGGAAAAAAAAAAAGAGAAAACCCCACAGACTCCCCAACGAAGAGACCTGGTGAAAAATGTAAAAAAAACAATTGCAGTTCTTCTAGAATCGCGTAACCGCAGTGGAGATGCTATTTGGACTTCTTCGGCAGGACTGTCCCCGTTTTCCCCCCCCTCATCGTTTGGTTTGTTCTGTGCAATGGAAGCCAGGCGTGGCAAATGTTCCCCGTTCCAGAGAGAGAGAGAGAGAGAGAGACGTTGGAGGCTATCAAAGGTATAAAACTCTTGCTTGCTACAAGCAAAATGTTTGTTTGGATACTTTTGTTATAAAGTCCGCCAGACCCGGGTTGTGGCTTGCCCCCCACCCCGTCTCACCTCCTCCTCCTCCCCCCCCCATAAAAACACCCCACCCGCCTCGTGTGGGTTTCAGCATGATTGGGCGGGCTCAGACGGAAAATTCGGGCGCTCCTTTCTTGGCCCTCCTCAGTAGCAGCCTCCGGACTCGAAATCCAGCGAAAGGATTTATCCACAGCAGAGACGGTTGTCCCCCGAAGACCGACTTCATCCCTTCCCAGCACAGCCGCCGTTCCCAGGTGGGCTTCTCGCTCTTCAGCCTTTCGATCTCCTGCAAGTTAATGGGAGGGAGGGGAGGCTTGGGTGAAACCCTGCAAACTTGGGGTGAGCAGAGATTCAAGGGAGGTCTCCGCTGGAGGGGGGGGGGGGGGGGGGTTTGTGAGAACGGCGGGGGCCGAATTGGCAAGGGGGGGGGGGGGGGGGGGTGACGTTGGAGGGGTGGGGAAGGGAACGGCTTACCGTTTCATCGTTGCATATCGAATGGATCTGGGTGCCGAACATGACGGCGGTGAACGTCAGAAACAGAAACCCTTCAAGGCACAAGAAGATCAGCAGAATGACCGTCACGGGTGGGGAGAAGTTACTGCATTCTGGGAGGGAGAGAAGGAAGGGAGGGAGGGAGAAGGGAGGGAGGGAGAGGAGTGGAAGGGGAGAGGGGGAGGAAGGAAATAAGGGTCAAATAGAACGGAAGGAAGGAAGGAAGGAAGGAAGGAAGGAAGGAAGGAAGGGAGGGAGGGAGGGAGGGAGGGAGGGAGGGAGGGAGGAAGGAAGGAAGGAAGGAAGGAAGGAAGGAAGGAAGGAAGGAAGATGGACAGACATTGGAGAGTGATGGAAGGGAGAGAGGGAGGGTAAGGATGGGAGAGAAGGGAGGGAGGGAGGAAGGAAGGGGGAGAAGGGGAGAGAGGGAGGAAGGAAATAAGGAAGGGTCAAATAGAAGGGAAGGAAGGAAGGAAGGCGAGGGAGAGAGAAGGGAGGGAGGGAGGAAGGAAAGAAGGAAGGGTCAAATAGAAGGGAAGGAAGTAAAGAAGGAAGGAAGATGGATGGACAGGCATTGGAGAGTGATGGATGGATTTTTTGGGAGAGAAGGGGGGAAAGAAACAAGGGTCAAATAGAAGGGAAGGAAGGAAGGAAGGCGAGGGAGAGAGAAGGGAGAGAGGGAGGAAGGAAAGAAGGAAGGGTCAAATAGAAGGGAAGGAAGTAAAGAAGGAAGGAA